TCTTAGAGAGACAGAGATTGGGAGAAGTAGGAATACTGATAAAGCCGACCGGGCAACCGTTGAACAGGTGAGGTCTAACTGTTACGCAAAGATTCGGGTTTGATAATTTATCGAGTGTTTTCTGTTATGTGTTGATGTTGTTTTTGTTCTTTGTTCCAGGCTCTTGATCCAAGGACGCGTATGGTTTTGTTTAGAATGCTTAATCGGGGTGTGTTTAACGATGTTAATGGCTGTATTTCGACAGGCAAAGAAGTATGCGACATTCACTACTCTCATATTTGATAGTTTAGCTATTTAATCAACCAGTCAAGAAGATGATCTCTTTGTTAACAGCACTCTCTTTTATTGTCTTTCAGGCTAATGTTTATCATGCCACAAAATCTGACGGTTCGGAACTTGCAATAAAAGTGTACAAGACATCAGTTTTGGTTTTCAAGTGAGCTAATAGATGAATAAATGTTGTTTATTGTCTTCTTCGAAAAGTTTTAACTTGATGATTTTGTTTTTGACCCTGTTTTCAACTTTGATGATTTTAGGGATCGAGATCGATATGTACAAGGAGATTACCGTTTTAGATATGGCTACTGTCGCCACAATCCCCGGAAGATGGTTAAGACGTGGGCTGAAAAAGAACAGAGAAATCTTAAGAGGTAATACCTACAATTCTTTGTGGGTGTATTCTGGATAATAGAACTTAGAATAGCAGTCCTCTTCTCTCTGCTTACTAATCCGTCTAGTTGATGTAGGTTGATTTATCTTGTTTTTCAAACAGAAGCCGGAGATGTACTTACTTTTTTCAAATATGTAACAGTAATTCTGGTAATTTCTTAGTTGGTTATTTACATGTTTCATTGGCAGGCTTCATGCAGCAGGAATTAGGTGTCCAGCTGTTATACTTCTACGCCTTCATGTTCTAGTCATGGAGTTTATAGGTTCGCTCTGATGCATTATCTGCTGTTTTAATCACTGATTCCACCCAACTCTTCTCTTTTTACTCTCATTCATTAGCATATTTCATCGAAACAGAGAAATGATGAAGTAAAGATTTTTCAGCTACCTAGTCAAGTAGACTAAGATTGTTTTATTTGTTTATATTTGCAGGGAGGGATGGTTGGGCTGCACCGCGTCTCAAGGATGCCGCATTATCACTGGACAAGTTGCGGGAGTGTTACCTAGAGGTACGTCTTATTTTCTCATTTAGAGGGTTCTGAGTGTATTATTGCAATACTTTACTTAGACCTGTTGTCTTTGAAACTTATCAGGTGGCAATACCGCCACTATTAAACTCTTTATGGTCCCTTTAATATCTTATCGAGAATTCACTGAAACATCTTTGTTTTGCATTTCAGTTGATAATTCAAATGCGAGTATTATATCAGAAGTGCAAATTGGTCCATGGGGATCTCAGCGAGTATAACATACTTTATTTTGAGGTGAGTTTTGGTTTATCTCTTAAGGGATCTCTTCGGCTTTACAAGGGTCACTTATATAACGTTTCCTGGCAGCAAAACAAAAGCAAAAGCAAAATTTGAACAAACAAGAGAAGACAAATATAATGATATTATCTTGACTTTGTCAGGGGCACCTTTATATAATTGATGTTTCTCAATCTGTGGATCTGGACCATCCTCTTGCACTCAACTTTCTACGGGAAGATTGTGACCACGTCTCTGTAAGTGTTAATAGTAGCCTGTTTAATCAATGCTTAATTTGACTGGAAAAGGGTGTCTGATGTGTGGATTATAATCACACACAGGATTTTTTCAAGAAACATGGTGTGGCTGTCATGACAATACGGGAGCTATTTGACTTCATTGTTGACCCGACAATTTCAGACGAAAATGTTGATAGCTATTTGGAAGAGGTAATGCATTACTTTTATATGGAATTGTCAATCAGTGTGCAGCTTAAGGTTCAAAGGTGTAACTTTTTTGTATTGGCAAACTAATGAAGTTTGTGATAATAATGGGCAGGTCCAACGAAAAGTTATAGAGCGAGGAGAGATATCCGTAGAGGATGAAATCGCGGATTCAGTATTCATGAAGGTTAGTGAAGTGTTTTCAGTCGATAGAACTGATGTGTGAAGTTGTCTGTAGAATCATCTTATCTTATTGGCTTGTTATGATGATCACAGTCATACATACCAAAATCTCTGGATGCTGTGAACAACCCGGAGGCTGACGTGGCGAAGATAACAAGCGGGCAGGACACAGGAGACATGCTGTACCAAACGATAACGGGGCTAAAAGATGCTCTTCCCAAAGTAGAAGAGCAGCAAAAAGAGGTGAATGCTGCAGAGGAAGAAGAGGAGGAAGAAGAAGAAGAAGACGGAGAAAGCGAAGAAGAGAGTGAAGAGGAATTGGGTCCTGAAGACAAGAAAGCTGCAAGGAAAGAGCACAAGAAGAAAGTGAAAGAGGAGAAACGAGAGTCTAGGAAGACGAAAACACCCAAATCTGTCAAGAAGCGAAAGAAGAAAGTCTCTAAACCTCACAAGACTCGTTAATCGGAACGAGTTATCATGTTTTGACACCCCTACAGTAGTTGTATTTTCAATTTTAATTATATCAAAATTTTGTGTCAAATTCTGGGAAATTGAGTATGGACCCAAAGGCTCTATATTTGGTCTTCTTTATCCAAAAACAGTAAGTTCTTGTAATATCCATAGTATGACTTTGATCGAGCCAGAGATTGGTTTGCTGGTGTTTCGAGAGGACTAATATAATTTTGTTACTGATATGTGGTCACTTTTCAAAGCCAAAAAGATTTGTAACCAGTACACAAGAACGTTTTTTCATCAATTTTCAAGTCCTCTATCTCATGATTCTTTTCTTGACTATTGAGTCTTTCAATACACGAAGGAAGCAAAGTGGATCGATCACCAATCCTAGAAACAAGAGAATAACTAACAAAATAAGAACATGAAAACATGGAGATTGATCTAGCTAGACAAAAGTTAGTATCTAAATTTATCAACTCAAGCTTTGAGATTGTTGACCTATTATAGAAAAAAATCTAATATTGCAACTAGTTTCTTTACAACATTTTTTTGGTTTAGTTGAGGCTTTTCTTTTTAGGGTTTTCTAAGTAAAAAAAACCTTCCAAATCGCTATTTTTTTTACTTTTCATTTCCGAAAAATACAGATTAATTCCGCGAAGTCAAAAGTTATACGCAATACAGATGTGAGCTATTAATAAATAATATATCAAATCAAAATCTTTGCAACTAGGGGTCTAAATCCATATTTAAAATATTTAAAATTTAATGTATGTGATTGTAAAAATGTTTAGACGTATACATATTATATTGTGTACTATTTTTGACTTGGTCAAATTAATATGCAGTTTTTTTAAAAGAAAAGGTAAAGTTGCAAAAAATATTAATTTGAAAGGTTTTTTTTTTCCTTTAGCTGAAAACGTTTTCTTTAACACTTTGTTGTAGGCCTGGGAGTTCGGAATAAACCGATCAAACCGACCCGATCAAACCGACAATTACGGTTATCGGCGTAAACCGAAGAGAGAACTCCAAACCGTTCGGCGAAATTAATTTGGGGATTCGGAAGTCGGTTCGGATCGGTTCGGTATTCGGGCCGATCGGTTTTATTTAAACCGAGAATCTGCAGCCATATATAAGGCTAATGAGTCATTAACCCTAATTTAGTTTCATTTTCTTCTTTGGATCTGCCTCTGCGGCTCTACTTCTTCCAAAACTCAAACAGAGAGTTCATCTTCTTCTTCGACCTAATCCATAATCAGTATAACGTTTCTTCTTCTTCATCAATTCATCATCTTCTACATGCTTTATTATTCTCTTCTTTTTTCTCTTTAATCGTTTCTTCGTGTGATTCTTTGTTGTTTGCTCGCTAAGCTCTTCCATATCACCAAAATCTCAGCTGGATTTACGGATTTACGGGTAACTCTCTAGATCTTATTAATCTTCTTTGGAATTTCAATTCTTTATACTTTTATTTTCCTAATTTTCTCAATTTAGATGATAGATTGCATGTGGTTATAGTTATGATATCTAATTGATCTCGTCGGTGATGTATTTTTTTGCAGTCGGAGAGATCAGCCGTCGCCGTCCGTCTCCGCCCGTCGCTGCATCGTCACTGTCAACAGATGTGACGAAAACCCTAATTTTTAATGGGTTGGGCTGTAAATTTGTTAATTTTAATTGGGTTGTAATTTTTTTTAATGCTTTAAATAATTGTAATGGGTTTGGGCTTTGTTTTTAGCCCATTATTCATATATTTTTTGAATTCGGTTAAAATAAACCGAAATAGAAAAAAATTCAGTTTAATTCGGAATTATTTTTAAATCTTATAACCGAACCGAATAACCCGAGTACCGATTGACCCGAACCGAATTTAATTTCGGTTCAATTCGGGAAGATTTTCTAAAAACCGAATTTTCCCAAAACCGAATAACCTGACCCGAATAACCCGATTTCACCGAACTCCCAGGCCTACTTTGTTGTGAATTTCTTTCTAACTTAATGAACATAAAAAAATAGAAACGAAATCTCTTACCCTGCCTAGCTAGATATAATTAATGCAACGTAAGGTAGGATTAAATAAACAAAAATATGGGACAAATTATTTGAAAAATAAACATGCCAGCCTCAGAGCCATAGTCAATGGGTCAAGTCAAGCGAAAGTTCGTCTGGATCTTACAATGCGACTTAATGTGAAGTACTCATTTTTCTTCGACATGGGACATCCGCCGAAATTGTTGATTTTCGATCCATCTTTACACTTGTTTACTCCGATGACAACAAAATATAACAATTCGACAACGATTTAACACCTAACCCTTTCTAATTTTTAGGACAAGTATTTACGATTTTAAGCCAACGTATTAAATACAACTTGTTTTTTGTCGATGCGTATTAAATTTAATACTAGTTTTCCTGCAATTTTTATAGAATTGTACTGTATTATTTATCTATAAAATTAACTCGTATGGTTTATAGTTTTCATAGAAAATTCTCCAGAAAAAATTAAAACCCCTCACTTTCAACACAAATCGTCAACCTTTTCATAATTGATTAGTTATTACACTCTCTCCACTTACTAGTTACTATAAAGGGAAACCAAAGGAGACCAAATCTCTCAGCAATTATGAATTTGGTCTTCCCTATAATCTTAAGTCTCTCTCTCCCGTAACATTATTTATGGACTATGATCCCAATACCAACCCTTTCGACCTTCATTTCTCCGGCAAACTTCCGGTGAGTTTCAAATTTCGTCGAAATTTTCCTTCTTTCATAGTCCATCTGTGGGTTCATATGGTTTTTATTGGTTGATTCAGAAAAGAGAAGTCTCGGACTCAGCTTCTGTAGATGTAGAGAAGAAATGGTTAGTGAAAGATGAGGTTAGTTATTTCATCGAACACTTGGTGTGCAATACTTTGACCTCAAACTTTTGATGCTTTTAATCACAGTACATAGTTTGATTAGATCGGTGATGCTACTAAACAAATCAGAGCTTCTGTCTAGACTTAGTTTGGTAATGGTGATTTTTGAATTTTGAACAGAAGAGATATATGTTACAAGAGGAGATAAACCGGGTTAAATCGGAGAACATGAAGCTAAACGAAATGTTAGCAATAGTCTGTGAGAAGTACTATGCTCTTAATAAGCTTTTGGAGGAGTTGCAGAGTCGAAAGAGTCTTGAAAATGTTAACTTTCAGAACAAACAGTTAACGGGGAAACGAAAACAAGCGCGGGGTGACTTTGTTAGCTCCCCAATTGGACTCAGTCTCGGAACTATCGAGAATATCACTACCGATAAAGCGACGGTTTCAACCGCCTACTTTGCTGCTGAGAAGTCTGACACAAGCTTGGTAAGTGTTTGTGACTGTTTTTTCATAATTCAGAGTCTTGATCTTATTAATGAATGTTTTGTGGATATACTTACTTATAGACTGTGAAAGATGGATATCAATGGAGGAAATACGGGCAAAAGATTACGCGAGATAATCCATCACCTAGAGCTTACTTCAGATGTTCGTTTTCACCGTCTTGTCTAGTCAAGAAGAAGGTAATTTACATTGAACTTTGTTAAAGAGTTCTTTGATATCATCTTACTGTTTGATTAAAACCTCTACTGGTGTGTGTGATTGTTTCAGGTTCAACGAAGTGCAGAAGATCCATCTTTCTTGGTAGCCACTTACGAAGGGACACATAACCACACCGGCCCACATGCAAGTGCGTCGAGGACAGTGAAACTTGATCTAGTTCAAGGTGGTCTTGAACCAATTGAGGAAACGAAAGAGAGAGGAACGATTCAAGAGGTTTTGGTGCAACAAATGGCCTCTTCGTTGACCAAAGATCCTAAGTTCACTGCAGCTCTTGCGGCTGCTATTTCCGGGAGATTGATAGAGCATTCAAGAACATGAAATTTCTGTTGAACATGTATATTTTTGTTTTGTTCTATTCTATTGCTCATCCCTAGTAAAAGGTAAATGATTTTGGATTGGATCTTGATTAGGTGGCATAGACGTCAAGTTTAATGTGTATATAAATTACATCAAATCAAAGTATCCAAAAAGGACCAATGCGATTTTTCTTTATGTCAAAGGAGTTTTGTTATAGCCCGGCTTAAGAATGGTAGACGCTAGCTGCTTCGACAGTTATGTTATGTCACTTTCAATTTTTTCTTGTATGGTGCTGTTCGTTTGGCAGTCGCAAGCCTCCCGCGACTGCGACTGAAAATTGTTCGTTTGACAGTCGCAGGATCCTGCTACTAGTAGCGCGATCAATCGCAGCGACTTGGGACTGAAGTTTTTGATCGCAGGAAAAATTAGCGATGCGATTATTTAAATGGCGATTAGTCGCAGCGATTACCAAACGAACAACATCCCGCGATTTTAAAATCGCAGTCGCAATCGCAGCCGCAGTCGCAGTCGCTGGCGATTATGAAACGAACATGACGTATGTGTTAACTTCCATTAGAGAAGAATATATGATGCCATTAAAGACATAAGAAACAGTGAAACCGGGAAACAGAGCAAAACCACGAGACTAGAGATAATCTTCAACCTCAATTCTAGAACCACTTGGAAATGAGACTTCACGGATGCTATCCTTCAAGAACACTACCCTCACCCAAGCCTCGTTACTTAGATTCTCGAGCCACGACGACCCTCCAAGTGCCATATAGGTTTGAAACCGCCATCTCTAGTCAAACTCTTCGCAATCGCACAAGCAAAAGGAAAAAGTTGGGAAAATTGTTCATAGTATGATTCAAACAAAGTCTCCAAACAACCGTAAAATGTACGATCAGTTTTTTTATATGGTTTACGTACTCGGTTTAACATAACCAAACCAAAACCAAACCAAAATAACCGGTACAGATAAAATCCAAAAAGAAAATTTATGAACCGAGTCCAAATTAGGGTACAGTGAGCTTTCCACGCCCAACTTCTTCTTCATCTGGGTTTAGTCCCAAATTGATGAATCAAAGGTTCGTGTTTCGAGAAATTGTTTTACGTAATCGTAGTTTTCTCTGAATTTCTGAGTTAAAGTTGTCGCCATGGATATTGATGTCGGACCAGTTGATCCATCTGTCCTCTACGAACAAGACCTCCATGTTTCATCTGCTGTTTGGGAAGAACAGGTTTTTTTTCTCATCCCCTTACTAAATTTCAGATTTTGAATCTAGGGTTAATCTTATTTCCCCTTATTTTACCTTAGGAACGAGGTCTACTTCGTTGTCAAGAACACACTTCATTGCTACATCAATGGAAACTCACTGATGAACAAATTAAGCTTGTAGACAAAGCTGGTTTCGGCTTCTTTCGCAAAATTGGTCCAATGAGTTTAAACAATTCGCTAATCTCTGCACTTGTTGAGCGATGGAGAAGAGAAACCAATACTTTTCATCTTCCTTTAGGAGAAATGAGTATAACTTTAAACGAAGTTGCTTTAGTACTTGGACTTGAGATTGATGGAGATCCTATTGTTGGTTCTAAAGTTGGTGATGAGGTTGCTATGGATATGTGTGGTAGACTTTTAGGGAAGTTACCCTCTGCTGCTAATAAAGAAGTTAATTGTTCGAGGGTTAAGCTTAATTGGCTTAAAAGAACTTTCTCTGAGTGTCCTGAAGATGCTTCTTTCGATGTTGTTAAATGTCATACTCGAGCTTATCTTTTGTATCTTATTGGTAGTACGATTTTCGCTACTACTGATGGTGATAAAGTCTCTGTTAAGTATTTGCCTTTGTTTGAGGATTTTGATCAAGCTGGGAGATATGCTTGGGGAGCTGCTGCATTGGCTTGTCTTTACCGAGCGCTTGGTAATGCGTCGCTTAAATCTCAGAGCAACATTTGCGGCTGCTTGACTTTGCTACAGGTTGGTTGGCTGATATGTTAGTTTTGGTTTTATGTCCGTTTGAGATTTCTATATCTTTTGGAAAAGTAACATATGATTGTCTCGTGTATATAGTGTTGGAGTTATTTTCACCTGGATATTGGTAGACCAGAGAAATCCGAAGCGTGTTTCCCGCTTGCTCTTTTGTGGAAAGGTAAAGGCAGCCGATCCAAAACCGACCTATCTGAGTACCGTAGAGAACTGGACGATCTTGATCCAAGCAAGGTAAACCATTCAAGTTCATCCTTAAGAATTTGTTTATTGCTCTTCATGTTAATTGATGGTTGTGAAAATGCAGATCACTTGGTGTCCATATGAAAGATTTGAGAACTTGATCCCACCACACATTAAAGACAAGCTGATTCTAGGAAGATCGAAAACGACTCTTGTATGCTTTGAGAAAATAGAGCTACATTTTCCAGATAGGTGTCTGAGGCAGTTTGGGAAACGCCAGCCGATACCTCAGAAAGTAAAACGCCGCGACAGAAAGAACCGTCGGCTTGATGACTTAGACACGTCAATGAGTCTAGCATGCGAGGAATGGGCTGAACGTGGGGACCACATCGTGGACAGTCCTGGAGGTGGCAATGTGGTGGATGATGGAGCTTACATGGAATGGTATGCTAGGATCAGTATCACCAAACTATACCGAGAAGCGTTTCTCGAGTCCCAAGTCATGAATATGGTAAAATAAGTTTAATCTTTATCATTTTTGTTTTTAAAACATGTTATATTTGAAACCTGCAAAATCAATTTACGTTGGTTTTGTGTAGATTGCTTGTATGAGGGAATTTGAGGAAGCTGCTTCAGGGATTGCACTGGAGAGATTATCTCCAGTAGAGAGGGAAGTGATGGAGAGTGTCAAAGATACGTTCGCTAATAGTTTGACGTTTGGAGGATGGCAAGAGGTGGCGGTTAACAGTGGTTATGGGAAGCGCCGGCGTCGGAATGAACAAACTCCGACGCCAAACAATGGTGGTGGTAATGATCTTTCGTCTCTTCTGCTTCAAAAGGACGACGCATGAAGCCTTGTGTTAGTTTATTTTCATCTTTAAAATGTTGCAGTGTTTATGTATGTATATTATTGGCCATTTGGTTAGGACAATAGCAGAACTTCAATCAAACAATAATGCTCAACTCTAATACACAACACAAACCCGAAAATACAGCCAAAGGCGCATAGAACTGTGGTGATGGTTGTTCTTGCCAAGTCCTAAGGGAGTCAAATTTTGACCATTCTCATCTCCTCTGACACTGAAAACGTAATGGTGTGGAGGAGAGACAACAGAGCTGGAACAAATTAGAGAGGACAATATCAGACAGGACGGCATCACCATATAGTGGGTTTAGAGCGAGGGTTCCCGAAAGGCATCAACCCTAATATCATTCTCTTGTTGTTTTGCACGCGACTCTTCAGATCTTTCAACGCACGAAACCCTAGATGCATCTGGTGATTTCATCAAAAGATTGATGAAATGTATGTATGTTTTTTTTAATGTAGTGACTACAAATTTGGAGATAGTGTACAAAGATTGTGATTCTGTCTCAATTAGTGCTTTAATTTGATTTAAAACTCTTCTTCACCGGGTCTGGTGTGTTTTACTACTAGAATTTATTAAATTGTTGGTTTATTTGTAAATGTTTTATTTAAGATATTATCTTAGTCCTCTTCTTCTTCTCTCATTGAAGCAAATATTTCAAAATTGCATTAATGTAGTGGACACTAAACCGACGGACGGTCTCTTCCTAGACTACCGTTGTAAGTGAGGTAAAAGGCATTGTGCTTTGAGTGATACGTGAGCCATTGGCCTACTCACCACCACCATGAGTTTTGCTTGTTATGACCAACCCCGGCCCAACAGAAACAGAGACCCTTGGGCAAAAAATGTTTTTTTTGGTCCTTTATGTATTTTTATTTTTTTGGCTTTTTTTTTTTGTGTTTTTTTAGCAAAATGAATATATTTTCAAAATTTAAATAATTTTTACTATTATAACTAAAACTTAACCATTTTTTTATCAAATTTTCGGATTTAGTATTTTTTCTAAAAGTTTGGACCCTATTTATGTGTATTTTAAAAATTATTTGGGTCCTTCTATATGTACATTTTTCGAAAAAATCATTTAGACCCATGGGCCATTGTCCTTTTGCCCACCCCTTTGGACCGGGGCTGGTAATGATACAGTTAGGGTTTTACAAGAGTGGTCATTAGGCTTCAGTCTAATTAACTCTCCTACAAGCAATTTACAGCCAAACAACCTACATATACTTACACATATCAAACTCTTTAAACCGTTTAAGAAAAAACATTATAGATTTCACAAAGTCTTCAGTTTGTTAAAATACAACCTTGTAGCAGTATAACTCTGTAGCAGTATCAATGAAGTTTGATTTCAAAGAAACAAATCTGATAAGAATGAAGCTATGTATTAACCAATAACCCTAACAATGGAGATTTTTTCAAGAGAAGTTCTATAACTCTCCTCTAACAAACTCACCACGTTTGCTTTCACAACCTACAATAAATTCCCCTCCCTCTCTATTTAAAGACTCTCTTCACATAGATTATTATAATTATGGAGCTAACTTTTAGATGGAGAAGAAGCTCTGTGGTTTTGTGTGACTCAAGTAACCAACAAGTAACCATTGTCACAAGAGTCACCTTAAAAACACTCCTTGTGTCATATACAACCTTGGTTGACAACAGTCTTCACTTGGTTAAGTAACTAATTTTCTCACCGTAATATATACATTTGTGAAAAAACACTTCCTACAATTTATCAGAAAAGTAATCCTAAAATTCGTTGAAGGTTCAACAGTTTCAAAAATCAACATTTAATTTTGTTCCCAAATTTGTTATGCTTCATAAACTCGCATTAATGATGTTGAAAATCTCTCTTATAAAGTTTTGGTTAGTATTCTTGTGAATAAAAGTTTTTGTGACGTCTTTTGATACAAACAACAACTTTAAGAATGCTCATCTATCTCTTTTCATGGATAAGTTCATTTCTAAAAGATGACAAGTGAAAGGACATTTAAGATAATGTCTCTACAACCATCTCAAAGTTTATGTTACTAAATACCAAGTTGGAAAATTGCTTTGAGCATAAAAAAATAATTTTCCAGTTTGTGATCTATATTGCTTCAAAACCTTTAATTGCTAAGATCATGTATTCGTTTTTGCTGCGTAGAAGTCGAGCAATAGAATGTCACTGACCTTTAATCCATCAAACACTTTTTCCATAAGCTAAACATCTATTGTGGAAGTACAAATAGAAATTTACTATTTAAGTGTTTTGCAAAGTAATTTTAAATAAAACTGACAATCAAGAACTTTATTATTATTATTTTTTTTGATAATCCAGGTATCCAAAGCCCAGTGGGCCCTGACTAGCCCACTAACCCGAAGGCTTGGCGTGCGTCCCGAAGGCGGCAAGAGTGGTTCCTGGAGGCCGCATAGCCCAATGTTAAATTTTTCTGCGGTGGCCACTTAAGGTGTTTGCAGCCGTGGGGATTCGAACCCGTGAGTATTGGGAATCTCACCCTCAACCCAAAATCCTTCCTACCACTGGCCCACCTATGAGTGGTTCAAGAACTTTATTTCAAAATAAGAGTTTGAGTTAAAATGCAACCATTTGGGTTTATACACCAAAACTGTTGCAAACAAAATTGATATCTCGATGTAATGAGTTTTTATATAACCTTATGCAAAGGATGAGAAAATGCCAATTGCTGAAAACTCATTTTTAAGAAACTCGCAACTTTATAAAGTTGAGAGTCTCTAAGGATGAGTAACTAGCATTTTTCCTCAGCATTTGGATAAAAGTTATATGAAGCCTCATCACATCAAGATATACTCAACTTTCTATGCAACAACTTGGCTGTTGAAAATCCAAATGGATGCATTCTAGCTCAACCTCTTGTATTTGAAAAGATGTTCTTGATGATCAACTTCATCTATGGTTACCTTGAAAAGCACCCGAATAGTAAACATGTATTTGTGCTTCCAAAATGAATGTTTAACTATTGGAAGAAATAGTTTGATGACTAGAAAGTCATAAATTTAAATGTAAAAATGACATCATGTTGCTTGACTTCTACTCAGCCAAGGCGAATACTCGATCTTAGCAATTAGAGGTTTTAAAGCTATGGATCACAAACTTGGGTATTATTTTCTTGGGGGCAAGCAATTCTCCAACATGGTATTCGATTCCAATGTTACATAAGTATGAGATGATTGTAGGGACATTCTCTTAAATGTTCCTTCACTTGTTATCTTTGATAGAACCTATTCAAGGAACAAGATGATGATCTTTCTTAAGATTGTTGCTTGTATCAAGACGCCACATACACTAGTAAAAATATGGTGTATAGCTATGGAAAATTTTGTGACAAAGACCTATATTTCGTGGCTATATGACCAAACAGTCACGACCTGACACGAAAAAAAACCGTGTCTATACAATCGTGACTTAAAATATTTCGTGGCTTTTCGTGACATTATTGCCACGGTTTATACACGCATATTTCGTGTCTAATGAAGTCACGAATTATACATGTAAATGGTCGTGTCTTTTTTTGTCGTGGCCAAATTAAAACGTCACAAATATTTTTGTGATTAATCGTAGATTGGCAAAGAAAAAAAAAAATTGAAATCTGCAATCTGAAATTTTAAAACCTAATAACCAGAAATTTAAAATCCAAAATACACTATCATACATTGCCAAAAGTTTTACAAAAGATTCAAAGATTCCACGAGACTTACAAAAAGTCTATAGTCTTACAAAAGATGCAAATATTTTAAGAAACAAGCTTAAAATGAAAACAACAAACCAAGAGCATTAGACTACGTAACTAAGTGCTTGTAAAAGTTGGGTCACGAGTAGCACACCACACTTCATAGGCAGCTTGTTGAGCTTGAGTCATTGGTGGAGTTGAGGCAGTATTCGGCATTGTGGCATTCAGGACAGTGGGATTGGGAGACATTGCAGTATGAACATAAGGTTGAGTATGATTTACCTGTTGGGGAGTTGCAGCCTAGGCCACATGTAGTAGCCTTGCCACGTTGTTTGAATGAACTTGCGGACACAAGGGTCTATACTGAACCTGACATAAGAAAAATAAAAATCATAGACAAATAAGAGATATAGTTTCTATTTGTAGATGCATAGAAAGAAGACTATATACCTTTATAGATTTTTGCTAAGTTACCATAAGGCACCATTGAGCTTCCTTGGATGGAGGTGTGGTTGGGCTTCTCTAGAGGCAGCACGCAGCAATGCATCTTCGGTTCTTCAGAAAATCACATTATAAAAGTCTAACACATTTCAGATATTTCAGAAAATTACAATATAAAAGTCTAACAAACACAAATTTTAGAAATTCACACTAAAAGCAAACACAAATTTCAGAAAATCAAACAATTTCATAGGCTAAAGAGACTATACCCAAACCGTAAAAAACAAAATTACTTGATCAAAGTCACAATATCACAGTACAAAAGCTAGAAATCAAAAGTATGAAAAAGTGATATTGTTTTTTAATTTGAAATCAAAGTATCAATTAATTTGACTCACCCCAAGTTAAGGACTAAGACCTTGTTTCTATAACTTCTCATTATCAACGAAAACAATAAGACCAGTAATGAAAAGAAGAAGGTCTAGCCCGTGTATCCAATCAAGGAACAAAATCTCTCCTCAAACCCTAAAGAGACGATACCCAAAAAAGACTAAAATCAAACACAAATTTTAGAAAATTAATCATGCAATAGGATAATCAAACATAAATTTCATTTAACAAACCCAAAACCCTAAGCATTTATAAACTGAAAAAGAAGAAACGTTTATGGAGAAAGAGAAGAAGAAGATCTACCCGGCAGATTCAAATCGGAGGGTCTTGAGCGACGATGATACAGTTAACTCCAATTCTCACCAAATCCAACAAACACAATTCCAATTTCAATTCAATATTCAAATGGAGAAGATCCAATGTTCCTAAAACAAGGAATCTCCAGATTCATCTTGTAAGAACCCTAAGTTCTTCACAGAGGATGAATCAAATGTCAAATCCAGAAAACTCAAAGAGAAAGAACAACAAACTTCACAATTTTTCACGATATTTCTAATTCTGATCTTCATCTTCTTTTTAAATGCCAACACCCACTTGCTTATGATCATGACCGTTGATTCTTCCTGCCATCTCCACCGTCCACGTGTTCCTTTATTCATACTCCTCTTATACTATATCAAATCCTTCCTCCCCAAACAACCATGCCCTCATGGTTGATAAGAAAGATCTTGCTGCAACAATTCATATAGCTTCTCCATATTTGACCACAACAAGCTTTAGACCTCTTCATAAGCTTGGTGGTTGTGTATCATTATCCATATCAAAAGAAACACCAAGATCCATTAGTTCTTTGCATAGACCACGGAGTTGTTGAAGCTTCCCACTAGTTTCTTTGGTATTTTCATTACCTCCAGCTTCTTGCCAAGAGAGGTAGTCACGTTTCTTAACCCTTATCTTTCTCCCATTCTTTTTGTTTTCCAAGTAACGATCAGAGTAAACTGTTGGACAATCGTCTTTTTTTCTGAATTTGAACATCCAAGACTTAAGACATTCCCTTTGTTTCTTCGTACTCTGTAATCTAATAAAGAGATCCGTTGAATGCTGAAGCAACACATTTACAACAACACCATCGAAAACATGTAGCTGTTCATAGTAAGTAGCCACATCTAAGTCATGGTCAATTTTCTGCGAACACCGAGCCTTCCAACGATGCCAGACATGGTAACGAACCAATATCCTACTGCATAAGAGCTGCGTCCATTCGTCACTACGTTCCCAAAAAAATTCATATAGCATTATAGAACACCAGCTCTTCCATAACCATTGTAATAGGTGATGTTGCTTCAATCTCAGCTTAAATGGTCTTCCCGTCTCCACTAAATCACCCTGGATTAGTCTGTTTTTGTTGTGAAAGTTCCAAGATTTACCACACTTCAATTTGCAGTCTTCTGAGCTGCTTTTAAATTTGAACTTCCAGGATTTGGGACATTTTTGTTTTTGCATCATCCATAGTAAGATTCCTCTTACAATCTCTTGTAAGTCAGGTCTAAACAGTACACACAGTGTCTCTCTTCTGCTCCAGCTTTTAAACCACTCATCAAATTCCAAGTTGCACTTGTACTTCAACGGAATTTGTGGTCTCTTTATACCCTCTTCCACAGATTTGTACTTGAACCACCACCGCTTGGAAAATTTGATCTTTTTGTTTCTCATCGCTTGTTGAAGAACCAAACTGGTTTGCAACAACTGCTCAGTCACCATTAAAATCTGCTCATATACAGCTTGTTGTCCATGACCTGCATCACTCTCTGTTATCCCAAGCATTATACCGAGCAAACATCTCACATGAACAGTTCTGGCCGCAATGAACATCGCCTCATGTTCTCTCTTATCAGACATTAGCTTAAGGTGGCTTGTGTGTCCATGTTCTCTCATTATCTGCAAATTTCTGTTCATGAACTTGAATTTCCAGAACTTGTCTTCCATGAAACAATCATCTTTGAGCGTGGACCAAGATTCGGGAAGCTTGTTATGCTTCAGCAATGCAACTTTAGCACTTGAACAAAGATATTTGTACCTGAAATCCCCTCTGTAAATCCATTTATGTGCAATTCGTGGCCTGCCTTTATGTGGTCTCCTTTGTTTGAATTTGAACTTCCACCACTTGGCGCACTTAATATGTCTCTGCTTACTTTGTTCTCTATGAGGTAATGTCTCGAACACTTGGTGTGCAACTTGATTGTTAGTGACACTTTTTGACTTCTGAAGCAACACATCCCTTGCTTTTGTGTATGAAGCTTGTAATATCGTTTCTTGATGATCAAACAAGTCATCACAGCCAACAACATATTGCAAATCCTCACAAACAACTGGTGAAGCATTGTGAAATCGAAGGCTAGTTTCTAAGTTTGAAACTGGTACCTGAAATTGTGGAGTTGATGCTTCCTCCATGATTGCTCCATGTACTAAATTATCTTCTAAGACAATCGATTCCATCTCAATCTTAATTCCTTCTTCTTCGTTATCCACCTCAGCTTGCAGTTCACTATCTCTCTTAAGTGGAAGGATCCCAACGTTATCAATGTTGCTTCTGGGATGTGCATACTCATATAATCTTCCAATTGAGAAACATTGCTGAATCGTTTGAGGCTGAAACATCCTTACATTCACTTGAGTATCAGATCTCAGTCCTGTCAAATACAGACTAACCAAGTAATCTTCATCTAAGTTCACTTTAGTGCTAATCAGCTCAAACTGAGCATGATACTCCTCAATTCCATTTGTTTCCTGCAACTGATTCAATTCAACAATTGGATCAACCTCCAGCTCCTTAAATTTGCCTTGCAACAACATTTTATAAGTCATCCAATCGTGCATAACATGCTTCCAAAACACTGATTGCACCATCCATTGATGCCAAGTAGCAACAACATCATCAAAATGGTTAGAGACTAAACCAATTTTCATATCATCCGGTGTTCGATCTATTTCAAAGAATTGCTCGACCTTGAATAACCACTCCGTAATCTTATCACCGCTAAATCGTGGACAATCTAGCTTAGCAAGACGAGTTTCCCCAAAATAGTAGTTTGTGGTACCTGTTCTTGTTTGTGCTGTGGAATTCTGACTCGCCACAGATTCTTCCAAAGCATGGGTTCGCTCCATCATCATATCACTTCGCGATCTCCCTGCTTCTTCTAATTTGCGAACTGTCGCTCGTGATTCAGCCATAGATTCCGAGGTCGTTTGGCTCTGATACCTTTGATACAGTTAACTCCAATTCTCACCAAATCCAACAAACACAATTCCAATTTCAATTCAATATTCAAATGGAGAAGATCCAATGTTCCTAAAACAAGGAATCTCCAGATTCATCTTGTAAGAACCCTAAGTTCTTCACAGAGGATGAATCAAATGTCAAATCCAGAAAACTCAAAGAGAAAGAACAACAAACTTCACAATTTTTCACGATATTTCTAATTCTGATCTTCATCTTCTTTTTAAATGCCAACACCCACTTGCTTATGATCATGACCGTTGATTCTTCCTGCCATCTCCACCGTCCACGTGTTCCTTTATTCATACTCCTCTTATACTACATCAGACGACGGTCGGGGGCTTGGCCTGGCTTGAGGCTTGGCCGGAGAGAGACATCTTGATTCGAAGTGGAAGACAATTTGAAGTCTTTTTGCGAAGTTGGTTTGTCGGGAGAGAGAGACGAGAGGCGAGAGATGAGAGCAGAGAGTGAGTTATTTTAGATAAGTGTTAAAAATGAGGAAGAGATATTAGGGTTGGGATGAGGGTTCTGTCTTTTAAGTGGCTAAACCGGGAAACCAAATATTTTTGGTCTAAATATTTCAATTAACCCGGGAAAACCAAATAATTTTGATCACGGTTTGTCCACGGATGTTGTTCGTGAAATAAAAGTCACATAATTGGTGTGACCAAAACGTGGCTAGAATTGTCACGTTTTAACTATGGCTTTATCGTGGCAGTAAAAGCCACGATTATTCCACGAAACGGTCACGTATTTAAGAATTATTTTTTCCGTGGCAATCGGTGACATCTCCGTGACTTATTGAAAGCTAGACACGGAATGACCGTGACTGCGACGTGGCTATAGAATAAATTTCTACTAGTGATAATGTTTTACTCGCTGAGATACTATACCAAGAAAACATAAGGGAGGCATACTAACATTTTTCTGTTGTTTTCCTCGAGTGTATGGAGTATATCCTAGCTGGGAAAAACATCAAAAAAATTCTTGAACGTTGATGCCGACACTAATGGACCTTCAACGAATTTGAAGATGCCCTTGTTTGACAAATTAGAAGAAGCTTTTCTTACCCAAGATTCTAATCATGGAGACAAGATTGGTTAACCAAACCAAGAATGTTAAGAAAAGAAAAGTTTCTTCTTGAAGTTCCGAGAATGATGGACTTCATGGTGGTCTTAAAACCAACATTAAAGCAAAGGTCAACATGTGAGATTGAAATAATCTCGAGAGGAAAGAGTTTCATAAACCTAGTCTAACTAATAATGCTTCACGACTTACGAGCCACTATGTACTTTTTCAACCTGGGTAAAACCTAGTCTAATTTGAGCAGAATCAAGCTTCAGTAAAACATATTTTATGAAATATTGTAACTATCTTCGAAATTTTTTGAATTTTTCTATATATTTTAAATATTTACATTTGGAGTTGAATCAAATATCCGACAGAATATCCAATTTTTAACGGATATACAGACATCAAATATCCAGTAAATGCCAGAGAGGATATAGATCAGAAAAGTCATTATTTGTACAGAACAGATCACGAATAGCATATAAATCTTGAATATCTACTCAGTGTCCAGCCTTAATATATATTTGAAGCTTATATACAAAAATTGAAAGCATTGGCAATTGAAAGAAAAGAAGAATAACACTTTCTTTTGATATGTAAAATTTAAGTACTCAACCTTTCTGATAGAAGGAAAAAAAAAACTATTTTGCCAAAACTACAATACACTATTTTAAAAAGGCAAGAAAATATAATAAAATTTTAAGTTGATTGCATCAATTTTCCGGTGATTATTTTGGAGCAATTGTTTTCAAAAGTAGTGAGTATGAAACATCTAAATTTTTTAATTAAAAATTAATCTAATCAAAAAACCTATAATTTTTCATACACCGATTAAAAATAGCCCAATTAACAATATAAAAGATCAAAAATTAAACTAACCTTTAGTGTATGACATCGTTGTCACCCCTCATATCAGACTATTTCTGTTGATGTGGGCTGTGTTTCCCGTCAAACCAAATATCGGAAAGTATATCTTTTACGACGGTAATGCAATATTCCTTCTCAAGTCGTCACAAATTGGAAGAATATTTTTTGCTCTCGACTAATACGCCATCTCGAGTTTCTTTTCGAGCATTGCAACTGCCCTTAATGCATCGATGAGAGACTCTTCAATACAACCTTTGACGGAGAAAAAGAAGACTTGTTTAAATTGTTATCTATATCGGAAACGATGTATTTATAGAAAGAACGATAAAGAAAAAAACTAAAAAGGTATAAATTATAGAAAATGCCAGTTTTTTTTTTAAATTGAGGAAATAAACCATTTTTTATATCGGGTTTAGATTTTAGGGTTTAAATTAATTTTTGTTTTTGAGATTTGTTTAAGATTTTAGGTTAGAGTTAAGTACTTACGGTTTAGATTTCTTAACTAATAAAGAATTGATTACTCATCCATTGCAGTCAACAAATTATAATAGGAATTAGTCATTTTTGTTCTTTTTTTTGTTGACCAGCAAAAGTGGACTATTCTTTAGAGTACCCCACGGTATTGAGAACTTTCAAATTATAATTTTAAAAATGTATTTTTATCAAAATTTAAATTTTGTTTTCACTTCTAACTAATAAAACCTCCGTAGAAAAAAAAAGAAACTTTAATAGGACGTTTTTGTTATTATGTTTTAGTTATTCATATGTGTCATGTGAACTCATAATCAGTTTTGAAGTTTTAATTTGTATAGAAAAAGTGCTGGACAATAGCACATACATTGTTTATGCCAGCTAATAACAAATGCATTAGCCGTTTTATAGAAAATTGTAATTAAATAAATATTTTTATAAGCTTCCAATTTTGTCTTCATACACTGTTTATGCCAGCTAATTACAACATGCATTGGTTGTCTGAAAAAAAGAGAGAGATAAAACTGTATTAAATGTTGTGGTAAGCGTTAAATTTTGTCTTCTTTAAAAAAGATAAAATTGTAATTAAATGTTCCAATTGTGATAAGCGTTAAATTTTGGCTTTACTTCTTTTCTTCTAACTGCCAAATCAAGTACATAGTCAACATAGACACTTTGTTTCCTTGTAAACTGATACTCCCTCCGTTTTCGAATAGCTGTCATTTTAATGTTATTAGTTTTTCAATATAAAAATATCAATAATTATCTACCTAAACATAATTTAACCAATAGTAAATCAAGTTGCATAATAAAAATAAATACAAAAATAAAAAAGTAATAAATTTTGTATCGAAAACTGAAAACGACAACTAATTAAAAACAAAAAAATTTCTCTAAAACGACAACTATTCGAAAACGGAGGGAGCAATTGTTTTTAAATAGTTTACGTATATAAATCCTATTTTTTTTAACAAAAAGGAAAAAAAAATCCTAAATGTACTGATTACGCTATATACAAAATCTCTTAAAATTTAATATTTACTTTTGTATTATGTTTGTGTACAAAATGAATTATGAGCAGACCCAAATTTAAATTTGATTTACGTTAAAAAATCATCGATGAAGTCTTCATTTAACTAGACATTCAAAAATAAGTAAATTAACGGAATTTCAAATATTCGCGCTTAACAAAGTACTTATAACAAACAAATTTAACTTTGTAAAAAATATTTAGTCATAAAATAAATATATGAATTGTTAGGGGAAATAATACAATACTAACTACATTTTAAATGTTCGCGCCACTTTTTCAGATTTACACATTAAATATATATTGATAAAATTTGTCTTTTACTTTTTTTTTTTCTTATAAATTTATCTATTGATAGTCACAAAATAGAAATAAAAAGTGGCTTAAACATAATATCTATATTAAAATGTACCCATACTTACATTTTTCATGATATTTTTTACTTACACATCAACACCAAAATACTGTTATAAAAACTAAAGGAACAACTTTATATTTTCTTTATTCAATATTTTTTATTTGTCATTTTTGGTCAAAAAAACTTAATTAAATTTTCATATCCTTATTTTCTACACATATATATGTAAGTGAGTTGGGAGGATAAAATTCAGTTTACATACTAGAAATTTTTGCTCTCTCTAAATCATAGAAAAAAAAACTGAGAAACTATAGTTTGAGTTCTGATTCTCCATAACTTTTCAATGGATGCAAAGAGGAAATTATCACAAGAGAAAGGTATAAATATTTGTTTCTATGCCTATACAATTTATATTAAGGAAAATATTGTATGCTGCAAAATCACTTGCAGTTTATCAATGTCTTTATTTTTGTTCAAAACAGTTTATCAATGTCTAAATGTAGTTTTTGTCGCAGATATAACTATATATAAATTATTTTTACTTGTAAGTCTAGACTTTCTAGTATTCTAATATGGAAAGGTAGAAGAGGTAACATAAAAGTAATAAATAGTATATGTACATGCGTCTGAGGCCATCTTGATAAAATGATAGTGATTGATTCATAAGAGGAGAGTGTGAGGGTAACTAAATCTCCCTCCAGCGAAAATAACTTTAACTAAAATTTTGTTTTAATAATTTATGGTATTTAATTAACATTATGATATTTCAAATTTTACTTAAATATATCTTTGTAATATTTTTTACGAAGGGAAAATAATGTAATAATCACTCTATTTTATGTTTTCAGACCTACATCAAAACGATGATAAAAGAAAAAAGGTTATGACACTAGAAACTCAAGAAGCCAGTGGAAGTTGTGTCGATCAAAATGTGGCTCATTGGTTTTCGAAAACGGAGTTCAATGGGTTAATGGACGTACCAATTGTGTATTTGGCCTCGGAAGAAAATATAGTTAAGAATGATCATACAATCGGAAGCTCACTTAAAGATGTCAACATTGGCGGTAGCAGCAGAGGCAGTAACAGTGGTAAAGGGCTAGCCAACGATTTGTACTTAGATGTAAGTGTACATATTAAATAAGAAATGTGTGGTAGTAAAATATTTATGGTTGTTGTTGTTATGATCTTAGATCATAACATTTTTTCATGATGAGTTAATTTTTATTATGTGTAGGGAAATGAATTGGTCGGAGTTCATATGAGAAGTGATAAAGAAATCAATACGATGAAAGACAAAGGAAAAGCAATATTCGACCTTAACAAAGCTATTTGGCCAAAAGATGAACCAGTTTCAAACACATTTGAGGTTACCATTTGTCATTGACAAGTTGTGTAGTTAAACGCATAGTGGAGATTGTTACTAATGAGTTTTGTGACCTTTTTCTAGAAAAGTGGAGCATCACTGAAAAATTGTGAGCATTCTTGGATATGGAAGCAAGGTCTTGGTCATACTTGTTGGATATGTGGTATCATTGACAAGGTCAGTGATTATTTAATTACGTTGTAAATTAATATATTTTTCACTCAATATTTTAAAAAATGAACCGGAGGCAACTGGACAACACTTGAATCTCGGTTCAATCTAGTTTGACCGGATCAACCCGGACTCACAAAGAAGTTTATATATAAACCAAACATAAACTTCAAAAATAACTTGTAATCTAGTCTAGCACATCACAAATATCAAATATCATAATAAATTAATACGTCTTGATCAACAACTAAATATAAAGACAGATATGCTTTCATTTTTTTTATAAATTTTATCTATATATAAATTATATCAAACAAATATATGGAAAATAACATAATAAATATTCTTTAATATTTTAATATCAAAGTATTTTTAGTATTTAATTGTTTTTAATTAGATAAGTAATAAAAATATTTATAGGCACATAATTGAATTTTTTTTTTAAAGTTTAAGAAAGTTTTTATAGTCACCCGGTTGACAATTTTTTATGGTTTCAATCCTATTAACGTTCAAATTGGGTCTGACCGCCAACCTTGTCCACGTTAAAGATATTTGTCTGATCATAATCCAATTTGTTATATGATTAGGATCATCCATTGCCACCCGGATTCGGGTCGAATATCTGCAAAGATATCAAGTTGAGAGTTCCTAAAGATGGGTTTTTAGGAACTGGCATTTTCCCTCATCCTTTGCTTGAAAGTATTATGAAACCACATCACTACGAAATACTCAATTTTCTCTGCAAGAACTTGGTTGTGGAAAACTCAAACGGCTGCATCATAGCACAAATTCCTTTATCTGAAAAGACCTTCTTGATGATCAATTTCATATATGGTTACTTAGAAAAGCACCCAAATAGTAAACCTCTATTTGTGCTTCCTAAGTGGATGCTGAATTTTTGGAAAAAAGATTTTGGTGAATTGAAGGTCAATGACCTCGTGTTGCTAGACTTCTACTCGGCGAAGGCACATACCCGATATCAGCAGTTAGAAGTTCTAAAGCAATGGATCACAAACCGGAGTATTATCTTCTTAGGCACCAAGCAGTTCTCCAACATAGTATCTGATAACAGTGGTACAGAAGCTTCAGATTCTTGTAGGGAAATTCTCTTAAACATTCCTTCACTGGTTGTTTTCGACAGAGGAACTGATCCGAGGAACGAGATGATGAGCTTTCTTAAGGCTGTTGCTCGTATCAAGACGCCACGAAAGGTTTTACTCACTGGCACACTATACCAAAACAACATTAAGGAGGTTTTCAACATTCTTGATGTTGCTTTCCCTGAGTTTCTGAAGCATAACCAAATTGGTAAAAATATCAGCAAATTCTTGAATGTTGAAGCTGACGTTGATGGACCTTCAACGAATTTGAAGATGCCCCTATTTGATAAATTGGAAGAAGCTTTGCTTAGTCAAGATTCTGATCATGGGGACAAGATTGGTTACTTAACCGAACTAAGGATGTTGACAAACAAGGTTATCTACAATTACAAAGGAGAGTGTCTCCTTGATCTCCCGGGATTGCTGGACTTCACGGTGGTCTTAAACCCGACATTAAGCCAAAAGTCAGAATGGG